GGGGGGGGGAGACCCCCTTGAAATAATGTGCCGTAACATCTAAAACTAAATTAGATCTAGATCTAGATTTAGATCTAGATCTAGATCTAGATCTAACCATTTGCGACGTTTTTCAATGCCAAAATCGTGTTCAAGGCCCTAAAAAGAAAACCACAAAAAGCTTCAAAATAATACCCTTTATGACACGGGAGGTTTTCTAGATCTATAAATTTACCTCAAGGAAGCCAAATGGGCCACAGATCGATCTCTATCGAATGGATCATGTAGACTAGTCAAGTCAATAAGACGTGTATTATTGAAATATTTCAAAGGTTAACAATAGGTCTATGAAAGAAAACGTTACCTTTGAGCCAATTTGGTTGCCACACTGGCCGACCTGAACGTGCATAATCTCACGCATCTTGAGTGTTGGCTGAAGTGACTCCCCTAGGAAACCCCCTCTGGAGGCAGAAATCAAACCACGAAATCTCCGTAAATATTTGTATGATGGAAAAACTTTATTTATTTACCAAAGTTCTTTGCTGGAAATTTGAGCCCCTACTCTCTTCACGACGGATGAGTAGTTACTAAGGAAGGTTGCGTATCGTTTCTATGGAGGAATGACGTCATGGGGTTTTTAGAATTTTCAATCGAGATTATTTGTGTGTCGCCATGTTAGGCTAGCCTAGGCTAGGCCTATGTTATGAACGCTAGGCTACATGTAAATCTAGGCTAGATCTAGGATAGGCCTATTGTCGATGTTTGTTTTTCAAGGCGTTTTGAATAGGCCTAATCCCCGAAATATACTTGAAAAATAGGTCCTTTTTCCCCAATTTGAATAAGCTTTTATTCGGTTCTGCCTTCATGAAACTGGTCACAAAATGCAGCAGCGTTCTCTTGATGACGTCATGTAATTTGCAGAGTTCTACGGACCTTCAGAGGCATCCGCCAGCTATCAATTACCTAGGCTAGATCTAGATGCTAGATAAAGGAAAATGCTGACTGTTTTTATTTGTTGTTGCTATTTTTTGTGCACGTGTTTTACGACGCTCGCAACTGCATAAGATCATACGAGCGCTCGGGACTCTATAAACATTTTCATTTGGAAGGAAATTTTGAATTTTGACCGGGTGGCGGCCGAAGCCAACTTTTATCAATTAGATCTATGGACAACCGAGGGATCTTTAACTGGCACAACTTGCACACGGGACCTCCTAGATTTTTCAACCTTTTTGGAGGATCTTACCTACCATAAGATCAGGGGTGGGGCTGAAAGACTGCAGTAAGGAGCCAAGGAGTAGCAGTGGAACGGCTGCAGAAAGGGTCAGGAACCCAGAGGATGGGGCACAGAAGAGGGGGTGGAAAGTGGAGACGAAAGCAGGCGACAGAACATTGTTAGAGAGCAAGAAAGGGGGTGAAAGGAGAAATATTTTTTTGAATAAAATTTTCCGTCGCTTTCCAGAGTTGAACCCTAGGCCTATTGAACGAGAGGCGAACACCATAACCTCTCAACCACGAGAGCCCGTGAAATACCGACTGAGGCTGACAAGGTTTTCGAATATCAGCTGTTACTTTTATTTAAAATAGTAGTAGTAGTAGTAGTAGTAGTAGTAGTAGTAGTAGTAGTAGTAGTAGTATCATCATCATCATTATTATTATTGTTGCTGTTGTAGTTGTTGTTATTGTCATTTGTATTGTTGTTGTTATTATTATTACTACATGTAGTAAAAGCAGCCGTTCCACGAACGGAATAATAATGAAGAAGTATTAAGAAAGTTAAAAAGAGGAAAAAGAGGAAAAAGACTGAAAACATGAAAGAAACAAGACATAAATATTTTACCTTGAATTTATCCTTGTTGCACACCCTCTTGACTACCTCTAGTGGTAGGACTTCTTCCCCTTCTTCTAAGGCGTGGCATTTTCTCCTAAAGTTCCAGCTCGATCACTTTTTTTTAAAAAAGAGTTAGGTCTACATGCCAATGTTGCTTCCTAGAAGAACCTAATCTAGATTCTAGATCTAGCCTAGACCTCGAAGGATTATAAAGACATAGGCCAATAATTGAAAGAAGGAGCCTTGGCCCATAGTTAGATCTAAGTTTAGAAATTCACATTTTTAACTACCGACAGGCGTCACAGATGGCCTAGATTTCTAGATCTATTCACAGCAGGAAAAATCCACTTTCAAGAATACTTTCATGATTCCTTGATCTCGATCTAGATTTACCAAAAGCCTAGTTCTAGACTCTAGCTCTATTCACAGCAGGAAAAAATCCACGTTTCAATACTTTCATCATTCTTGATCTCGATTCTCAAATAGATCTAGATCTAGATCTAGATATAGATCTTAGAATCTAATGCACAGCAAGAAAAATCCACTTTCAATATTTAATAGGTTATCGAAATATCACAGATCTAGATTTTACTTTCATTTCATGATTCTTCATGATTCTTCTTGATTCTAGATCTCATCTAGACACTGCAGAAAATACACTCATCCTTAGGCGTGCGAGCTAAATCCACTGCAGGAGAAATCTACTTTTAACAAATCTTGATCTAGATATTAGATCTCGACATAGGCCAAGGCTACTCTTGGTGCTTTCGACGACACCTTCCCTGTCACTGTCACCACCCTCCCTCAGCAGTGCTTTCTGGCCTCTTTTATCTCTTCCTTTCTCTCTCTATCTCTTCCTTTCTATGTCTTTATCTCTTCCTTTCTGTGTCTCTATCTCTCCCTTTCTATGTCTCTCTCTCTCTCTCCCCTTTCTATGTCTCTCTCTCTCACTTTCTATGTCTCTCTCTCTCCCTTTCTATGTCTCTATCTCTCCCTTTCTATGTCTCTCTCTCTTCCTTTCTATGTCTCTCTCTCTCTCTCTCTATGTCTCTCTCTCTCCCTTTCTATGTCTCTCTCTCTCCCTTTCTATGTCTCTCTCCCTTTCTATGTCTCTCTCTCTCTCTCCCTTTCTATCTCTCTCTCTCTCTCTCTCTCTCTCTCTCTCTCCCTGGTCTCCCTTTCTATGTCTCTCTCTCCCCCTTTCTATGTCTCTCTCTCTCCCTTCCTATGTCTCTCTCTCTCTCCCTTTCTATGTCTCTCTCTCTCTCCCTTTCTATGTCTCTCTCTCTCCCTTTCTATGTCTCTCTCTCTCTATCTCTCTCCCTTTCTATGTCTCTCTCTCCCTGGTCTCCCTTTCTATGTCTCTCTCTCTCTCCCTTTCTATGTCTCTCTCTCTCCCTTTCTATGTCTCTCTCCCTTTCTATGTCTCTCTCTCTCTCTCCCTTTCTATCTCTCTCTCTCTCTCTCTCTCTCTCTCTCTCTCCCTGGTCTCCCTTTCTATGTCTCTCTCTCCCCCTTTCTATGTCTCTCTCTCTCCCTTCCTATGTCTCTCTCTCTCTCCCTTTCTATGTCTCTCTCTCTCTCCCTTTCTATGTCTCTCTCT